CTGCAGCGCTACTCTACCTGACAAGGAAAACTATTCGAAGCCAGTCTCCAAATATTTGTGCGCTCTTCATTGTTATGGGAACTGTTGCATCTAACAAGAACATACTTTTATGGAACATTAATCCTATTAAGCGGTGATTATCGAAGAAAGTACCTGCAATAATTTTAATTACAAAATTTCTCGATGTACGAAATGATACACGAATATACGAACGTAACAGTTGCTACTGAGAAACTATAGGTTAACACACGAGTTTGTTTACGTTCACGTGTTCGTACGTTCATGTACTTCAAATATAGTAGTACCCTCATTATTCCAACATTTATCATACAAATGTCTTTTTATTCGAACAGTATGTACATTTTGATACTTTAGCATGAAATTGAAATTATCTACGTTAACCTTGTGTGCAGTGACACAATAGAGGAAGCGTATATGTAAAATAAAGCACAGGATACTTCAAAGGTTAGAAAACAGTAAAAGCATTATCAAATTTCCCGAAGTTGTGTACCACTGAAAGCATTTCCATTTTGAAGTACTTTTTGGCGGTTTGAGGTACATACAAGGTTTACAACTTAATTTATGTTAATATCAAGGAAAATATGATACGTGTAAGTAAAATAAAAATAGTTTATCTTTTAATATCGTTATTGGTATTACTGTATCTGATATGTTAAATAATCCCTATAAAGTGATATAAGTGTTTTGTTAAACGAAAATTTCCTTATTCAATAGCCGTATATCCGTATTAATTTGGAAACCGGAGGTTCTGCTGTATTTCAGCAGTGTTGTTATGAAATGCGAAATACAGAGGAAGAGAATGAACATAAATTCGTGTACATGAAAGTTTGTACGCTGCCACGGTAACTGGTTGCACGACTGGGAGTAGAAAAATGGCCACTTTTGCGAGTCGAACTGGCCGAGGTATTTTTCTTCTTTTACCCGTGGAAAATCGACGCACGTCAGATTGGCACAATTTTCGTCCCGGCCGGACTATGAGTGGTAAAACAAGGTTAATTCAGTCCCGACGGTCCGTGGCGTTGCTTGCAATAGCGCTAACGGCTTTCAAAGAGTGTCGCGAACGACGCATTTAGAAACGATGCTCCCGTTTCGAGACTAGAGTTAAGGTCGGCCTCGGATCATCGTGACTCGTCGGCCTCATAGAAACGTAACTCCGTGCACATTCTTTTCGTCAGGTTTGCATTTCAGGCTTGCACTTCACTTTGGAAATTTTATCGCTTCTTTCGTCGCGTCGTTGAATGTCTTTAATTCCTCTTCCGGGTCTATTCTTGAACCTCGCAGTTGTAGATGAAACTTTTACGATTCGAGCCATGGTTAGTGGTATGTATCTGTATCATTTCTTGCCATGCTTTACTGAAATTATAATTTAGAATTTTTTTTAGGTACCATTATGAAGTGCAGTGATTTAAATTTAGGAGGACTTATTTATCAAAGACTCGATTTATAAATTATTTTCAACTTTCAAATATTGAGAATACAACTTCAGATAAATTAATAGTTAATGGAAGTAAGTGATGAATCTTATATACACATTAGATGATTATTTAGAAATTACATTAAATAACATATAACAAAAATTTCAGATAATACTGAGATAAGTTATGGTACTAGGTATACCGACGATTAAGTTCCTACATTTTTAACCTTTAGTTCTTCAATGACCTCGCATCAGTATCTTGATAACTAACGTTTGCTTACTTCGAAGTAATAAATCAGGTATTTTTTAAATAAATAAGGAATTGACTATTCGTTTACCTGAACAATACGCCGATAGCAATAGTATAGTCGTTTATACAACAATAAATCACCGTATACGGTGTTAATTATAACCTGCGAGTTCGTTACGCTAAAATTCACAAACTGCCTCTTTTGAAGCTATACTTTCAAATCGTGAAATGTCATGTGTAACTATGACCGTGTACGATGCTGACGATCGAATTTATCTCGCGATACATCGAATCCTTATCTGGTCCGTTTGTATCCAATTATTACCATTATAAAAACACAACCCAGTTTATAACCGATAACATGTAACATGTAACATTTATTTGATTTAGAACAAAAATCTTATGGTTAAGATAGCCTCGATATCCGTCAAAAATTGATATTTCCAACAGTAAATGCTACATTTATTTGTATTTAATATAGATATTATAAGTATGGTTATTTTAAGTTAATTATTTTTATATATTTATGATTATAATTATGTACATAATACAAGTACAGTTTTACATACAATTAGTATGTTAATTTGAAAACGAATGTATTTATGAATTGTATTTAAATAAGTAATAATGATAATTCAATGAAAAATCTTTATATTTGTAAGTAAAACTTTCTTTCTTTCGAAACTATGCAGAGTGGAAGAGTATAAATGAAAATTACGTTCTCACATTTATAATAAATCTTAATTTAATTCGGAATTCAAATTTAACCATTTCTTTTTTAATCCTTTAAAATATCAACCGATAAATATTTAAAGTATTAAATTATTGCTAATTTGTTAAATCAGTCATTCAATATAGCCAATAATGGAAGAATTAATATAGAAATGATACACATGACATTTATTCAGAAACCAGAAGTTAACAAGATAATTTTACACGAGTAGATTTTGTTGATCTCATTACATATATTTTATTGAGTAATTTGTAGTCATTCTTTGAGTAAGGTTAAGTATCTTACACATATTCTTTGATAGCAATATCTTTCTCTTACCGTCGACTGTTATTTTGCTATTAATCAATAATAAATTATCAGTAGAGATTATATCCGCTCAAGTAGGTTTCGAAAGCTTTATTATAATTACATTAGCTGCAAATTATTCAACTAATTGTCATTATAAAAATTTAAACCGAAGAATAAATATTATAACCTATAAGAAAATATTTTACAGCTAAGTTGTTTTTTAAAGAAAATTTTGTTAACTTTCAGTTTACAGGAGATCAAAAATAACGAGACTATTTCATGGAAAACACATTTAGGTATTTATCGTCATCTATTAAGGAAGGAAGTTAAACTATGAGATCACTATCTTAAATAAACAGTTTCAAACAAAGTATTCAAAAACTGAGTATTTTTATACTTTCCACTTATATGTTTATTATATAATTGCCTTAAAGTTATAAATATCCCTATCAGATTAAATTTTACTAAAAAGGTGTGCAGTTGATAGTAAAATACACAAACATTTTATTGCCAATAAAATTAATCTGTAAATTACATGAATGAAAGACTGGTAAAATCTA